TCTGATTCACCCCTCAATAACTGCATTAATTCTAAGTTGAACAGTAGAGTAATTCCTCTCATGAACAATCAAAAACAAAAACAGTAGATCAACTACATTGAAAATACAGGCAGCACAGAAGAAATCAATGCAACAAAACTGAATACACCAGTGAACCTGACACACAGCTTAGAAAACCTGTACACACTGAAACTAAACCACCTGTGAGCCCACCTGTGATTTTCAATTTGGCTAACTGCATGAACATGGTTCTAAAATAACTAGTATACTAGTGTCTATCTGCATGCCTGTACCATGGCTCCACAAAGAAAAGAACGGCCAGGAGAACTGAAAATCTGACTGTGAGACAATGAAGAAAAGGATCGCGGAATATCAGTGACTGACTAAACGTACGTAAAACACGGTTGCATCAGTATTTCAGAGGTACAGAAGGAGCCACAGTACCACTAATCAGAGCTGCAGTGACAGAACAGTTCATAATGTCAACCTCTATGGAACGAGGCAAACAAAAAATCCATTGCTACTATCTTGACTCAAAACTGGAAGATTAAAGAAGACTAAAAGAAACTTGATGAATGTTGGGAGAACATTCTTTGGTCAGATGAGACCAAGATAAATTTATTCAGCTTACGCAGACTCCAGCATGTTTGGTGTGAACCTGACCAGGACTACCACAGTGAATGCATAGTCCTGACAGTGAAGCACGGAGGAGGGAGTGTGATGATATGGGGCTGCATTACTGCAAACAGTATTGGGGAGATGACATTTATAGTTGCACCATGAATGTCTGTTGATAAACCAAAACACTGTCTGATAAGATGACTCCCAGTCTGCAGAAGTTTGAAGAAGAGGTACATTCCAGCATGAGAACCATCCAAAGAACTAAGTTATACAAAGTTTCTACAGAAGAACTAAGTGAAAACTATGACCTGGACAAGTGTGTTGTTCACTTAAGAATCCAACAGAACATCTTTAGAGTATGTTAAAGAGAAGACAGAGCAACACAACCTCTCAAGCAATGAGCAGCTGAAAAAATACAGAACATGTCTGTCAAAATTCAGTATCATATCGAGAAGCCTTTATCAAGGAGCTCCTTTACTAGCTGAAAATCAATGATGCTCTTTGACTACAAATACATAACGGTTCACGTTTTCTGGTCGCTACAGTATTAAACAGTAAGTGGTGGCGCAACCAGGTACCACAGCTAATCTACTGTACTTCTGATGTGCTTTAACTAGGATAATGGTATCAACAGACTAAATTTTAATGAAGCAAAAACGCCAGACAAACAAACACTGGGGCATGCCTAGTCATTACTGTTCTGTTGTAACACAACAGTTATCAGAAGTAATTTCCCAATTCTAAGTGGAGGAATTTGACTGACAGTTATCAGTGCTCAGGTAACATCTGGAGCTCAGCAATGCTCTGCTGTCTGAACGCAGAAGAGATCATGTTATTTCTATAACTTGATCTCAAATCTCTCACCAACATCAGATGGTGTTAGAGACAATAATCCCAAGGACCGCAGGGGTCAATCCGACCGTTTAAACTGAAACTAACATCACTTAAACTGGATTTACTCACAGATAGTCCTACCTGAATCTCAGAGTTGTGGAGAGCTGAGCTTTTCGAGCTCTGCGGAGGAGAGACGACGAACCGTCCATCGGGAGGCAGAGCTCAGAGCCGACTGAGAGTCAGACTTAGTATATGTGTGTGGAAAGCATTATCCTGGTGTCCAGCTGGCTGACATTCTGTCGACTGTAAAGCCGAACACACTCTCTGCATCAATATCCTCAAACACACACACAGGCAGCGACAGATGCTGTGCAGCAGTCAGGAAACCAAACAACTCGCTGGTCGTTTATTCACAGTAGCAGCTGATACTGTATTTAATCAAAGAAAATCTAGGTGGACTGGAATCATAGCTTCTCTTTCACTAACTGACTGTGATAAAAAATCTTAAGGTTATTTCTCAATAAATTTTAAATCAATACAAAAAGCCTGTATTTGAAGCATATTGAATTATTTGAAGTTGGTCATTTTTACCACAATGATAAGAACAGAGTTGGCACCAACCAACTGCACATACTTCTGTGATTTCTGATAATATATCAACTGGTGATCCAGCACAAGAACTATTGAGGAACATAGCACAAACATGCTAGCTGTTGTTTCTAGATGACCTGCCATGTTGGTTTACGTTCAACTTTTTGAAGAGAATACAGTCACAGTGATGACTTCTTTGACATGATGTCAGCTAATTTAAAGCCGATCCTGAGTAAACAGTCAGATAACATTGAAAAGTTAGGCCTAGCAATCTCCATTAGGTCGGGCGTGTTCAAAGTTATGAAAACATCAGGGTTTTCAGATAGTTTGTTCCTCCTGCCATCAAAAATATTGGATTAATCCTGGAAGGCTGTTTACCTGGGATGTACATTTCAACAGTTTTCTCAACCAATAGTCGACTATGTTATTAATCAACAACTAATTTAATTGCTTAAGCAAAAGAATTATATATTTTCATTATGATGATGAAGCATTTTTTAACCACAGCAGTTGTTAAAGCAGCTCAGTTACATGATACAAACGTTCTCCTCGGTAATAACAGCTCCTTTTCAGTACATAACTCTGGCTGGAAACCATTAACTGCCACAGAAGTCTTTGTCATGGTGCCCATTGCGAGCTAAACTCCCACAAGTTCTCTGCTGGCCAACATTAACTGCCTTTAGTCTGATTTATTGCCTCCTCTTGTCGCTAAGAAAAGGCTGATCCGTCATTCAGCCTGATCCGTCAACTTGTTTCAGATTTCAGATAAGAAAGGATGTGTGTAAACAACACACCCTGGTGTACACTTTATCTTATCAAACCCACGAAACACACAAAACCTCAGCAGAGTGAAAACTGAGTGAAGCAGCAGAGTGGAGAGCCGGACTTCCAGTAAAACCACCTCCAGTCAGTGCTGGGAAGGCTGGGCGGGTTAATGGAAGGAGGAGGAAGAAGAAGAAGAGCTGAAGAAGGAGGAGGAGGAGGAGGAGGAGAAACCCTCAACTTCCTGCAAACAGAAGAATGAAATTCTCCAAATCTCATCTTTCTCCGTTCAGCCGTCTGTCCTCCTGCTGATGTTTAACATCTTCACTGATGTCTGACAGACACTGAGCTTCATTACTGGAGGAAACACAGCGAAAGAAACAGAAGGAAGCAGAACCAGAACAGGAAATTAACCTTAAATCAGAGGACTGTTGCTGCTGCTCACTATCACCAACAAACTGTGCAGTCTACATCACTGCCCCGCATCAGTCACAGGGCAAACACTCACCGGAGGCCACGTTATTAGTACAGCAGGCTAAAACCAAAGCTCCTTTCAGGGCTGCTGCTTGTAACCTCTAATGCCCGAAGAATATTCTATGTCAAAAATAATATCTTCTTTATTCAGCTGAATTTCACTCTCAGTATTTATGCCAGCAAGGTGCAGCACACATCAAATTAAAATGCAGAACTGGACCTTTCAGTTAATTCTAGCTGCTTGCGTGCCAAAGTGTTGGTGAGAAAAAATTATGTTGAATTTACATCAAATTAAATTGTAATTATAACCTCTGTCCATCTCCACACCAGTTCCTCTGGTTTGGATGAACTTCACAGTTTATAGATATGTTAATAATACTTAGATGCAGTAGCTATTTAGCAGGTCTGCCTGTGCGTCTCTGTGAGGTCTAACAACTAAATAAAACCACCTAGTTTCAGGTAAATCTGACATCACATGCCTTAGATCACTCTTTTTAAACTAATTTCTGTTCCCCAACCTAAATTTCTGCACTGCAGTAACTGAATGGAGACTAGAAGCTTCTATGTGCACAGCCATCTAACAGCATCTAATGATACAGCAGCTCTTTCGTCAGTCAAGTGTTTACGGAACATTGGTAAGTTCTAATATGTACTGATAAATGTGAGACATTTGGGGAACGTCAGGAAATTGCAGTGTCTGCCAATGAATGTGACCTTCTTGGGGAACATTTGTAAATTTTAGCATCTACTGATGGATGTAGAACATTTGGAGAACATCAGTAAATTGTGAGGTCAGCTGACGATTGTAGACCGTTTAGGGAACATTTGTAAATTGTGTCGTCAGCTGATGGGTGTGAGGCATTTGGGAAACATCAGAAAATTTAAGTGTCAATCAATGTGTGTGAGCCATTTAGGGAACGCCTATAAATCTTAGTGCCTACCAATGGATGTGAGATGTTTTTGGAACGTCAGTAACTTTTAACATCTACTGATGGATATGAGGCGTTTAGAGGAAATTCAGAAAACTGCAGCATCTACCAATGGATGCTAAGTGTTTATGGAACACTGGAAAATTTTAGTTTCAAGTGATGCTTGTGATACATTTAGGGAACATCTGTAAATTGTAGCATCTACCAACAAATGTGATGCATTTAGGGAATAGTCTGGAGTCCTAGCCATGAACTTCAAATATTACAGGCTCCCTGTGGGGTTTTCCTGTTTAGATTCAGTTGTAAACATTCTGTAGATCCTTGAGATCTCACAGACATAATATTTTAAGAAATTATCAAATACATATTGTGATAATTCTAAACACTGTGATCGTGTTTGTGTCTCCATCACCCTGTCCTAACAGACATAGATCAGCTTTGAGTCTGGGATGGCTGAATGGGCCATCTGGATCTCCAGAAAGTGCCTTAGGTGAACCCCGAATGCATCGCCTCAGGTGGAGAACATCTATGATCAGCCTTATGTGGGCTGTGGGTACCGAGGATTAATTCTGAGTGTTGGGATGGAGGTGGTGTGGATTTAAAATGCATGGCTGCACCCTTTGAAGGAGTTTAATAAACCCTTACTCTGGCAATAAAAAATAAAAAAATGCACAGAAAGTTAATCAAAGAACAACCAACCTTTATCGTCCCTGTGTGCTGTGGACACACTTGAGTTGCGGTTTTAGCGGCAGTGTTTAGTCTGAAGAATGTAGAAGTTTAAGGATTTACCTGTCGGCATCAGCAGGTCGGAGCGACGGCAGTCTGAAACTGGTATTTCTGTCCAGTTTGGTCTGACTCTTCGTCCTCTTGATGGAACCTTTGAGACGTTTACTGAAAAACCCCTGCAAGATAAGACACAAGCAGACTGTAAAGGACAGAGGAGTTTTTATTAGGAGAACAACAAGGAGTTTGTGGTATCTCTGCAGTGAAAAGCTGAAGGAGGAAGAGGAGCTGCTGGACCGAGGATGATTTTTCCTCCTCGTGTCCTCAAGAGTGTGGAAATAATGGCTGCACAGAGACCTCTAACTGACTTTATATACCTTCACTGCAGACTCAGACCTTTTCATTATGCGATAAAACTGAGTTTGTCCTCACAGTGGTACAAGAGAAAAGGTCACAAGGTCAGTAAATTGTAAAGAGTTAATCTCGGAACCACAAAATCTGCTGGCGGGTTCAAAAAAATGTGTGATATTAAAATTAAAATTGACCAAAATTCCACTATGAAATAGTCAGATTTTCAATTTTCTGACTGTTTTTGAATGTGAGAAGTGTGGTTCAATCAGAAAAACTAACCAAATCTAAGCTTAAAATTGTGATATTTCATTGAAACCACTTTATTTCTACAAGTCTCATTTTATAATTCTCAAAAAAAGAGAAAGTTCTCTAGATGCTGTAAAAAAATTTTTAAAAATCTCCTCTCTCCATGACTGACTTATGTGTGATCAAGAGTAAAAAATTCACAGAGTTTTCAGACGAACTGCAGGCAGTGTTTTCAAAGAGCAGAGATGCACATACAGGCTCAATAAAATAAGAGAATATATTAATGAGACATGTTGAATAAAGTGATTTTGATGAAATACTATGAGTTTTAGATAAGATTTGGTTAATTTTCCACGCAGAACGCTGCGTCACACATGACATGTTCACGGCCAAGCTGGAACTTAAAAATCTGATGGTTACTTCTGCTTTACAGTTTCTGGCTGGTAAATGGTGTCACTTGGGAGATTTTCCTTCCTAGTGGAAACATGCCTTTCCGGTTAATCTATTAATCAATTAGTTGCTTGGTCAATAAAAGATAAATGGTATAAAATGTCGATCAGTGCGTTCCAAAGAATAATAGGACAAATGTTGCGTTTTGTCCACAACCTAAAAATATTCAGCTTACTGTCATAGAGGAGGAAAGAAATTGGAAATTTAGAAAGCTGGAGCAAGATAGTTTGTCTCTATAAAAACATATTCAACCCAGAAGAACACAGCAGCTAATCTAACAGTTTACAAATTATCAGTTTGTTGTTGTAACTCTACTTGGCAGACACTGTTAAAGACACTTTTTGTTTTGACTGTAAATTATATTTTTCAGTTTGCCAATTTATTGAAGTGAGGTATTTTCTTTGTACCCACGAGTTGATGTCTAATATTATTTTGAGTAAATATTTTCTAATTTATTGTAACAAATATGACATGAAGGCAAACAAGTAGAACAGGGATCTGTACAATCTTTGATCTCAGATTAGAGGTTAAAAAAAAAAGAAGTTATTTTGCTTTGAAAGAGTCAAGAAGTTTTGTTTAGGTGGAAAAGAAATTAAACGAAGTTAGTTTGTTCTTAGTTTAGGTACATAGTCTACACACGTGGAAAAAAATTGTTGGTACTCCTCAGTTAATGAAAGAGAAACCCACAACGGTCACAGAAATAACTTAAATCTGACAAAAGTAATAATAAATAAAAATTCTATGAAAATTAAGCAATGAAAATCATACATTGCTTTTGAACTATGGTTCAACAGAATTATTTAAAAAAACAAACTCATGAAATAGGCCTGGACAAAAATGATGATCCCCCTAGAAAAGACTGAAAATAATGTGACCATAGGGACATGTTCAATCAAGGTGTGTCCTCTAATGAGCATCACAGTTGTCTACAAACTTGTAATCAGTCAGTCAGCCTATTTATAGGGTTACAAGTAGTCACTGTGCTGTTTGGTGACATGGTGTGTACCACACTAAACATGGACCAGAGGAAGCGAAAGAGAGAGTTGTCTCAGGAGATTAGAAAGAAAATTATAGACAAGCGCGTTAAAGGTAAAGGCTCTAAGACCATCTCCAAGCAGCTTGATGTTCCTGTGACTACAGTTGCACATATTATTCAGAAATTTAAGATCCATGGGACTGTAGCCAACCTCCTTGAACGTGGCCGCAGGAGGAAAATTGATGATAAATCGAAGAGACGGATAATACGAATGGTAGTAAAAGAGCCCAGAACAACCTCTAAAGACATTAAAGGTGAACTCCAAGGTCAAGGTACATCAGTGTCAGATCACACCATCCGTCGTTGTTTGAGCCAAAGTGGACTTCATGGGAGACGACCAAAGACGACACCATTGTTGAAAACAAATCATAAAAAGCCAGACTGGAATTTTCCAAACTGCATGTTGACAAGCCACAAAGCTTCTGGGAGAATGTCCTATGGACAGACGAGACAAAACTGGAACTTTTTGGCAAGGCACATTAGCTCTATGTTCACAGACGCAAAAATGAAGCATATCAAGAAAAGTTATGGATAAAAAACCTTGGCACTATCATGCAAAGGCTAATCACTGTGTAATTTTAAAAAAAACACAGTATTTTAAATTGGGACAGTTTTCAGACATTTGCAGACTTAAAACTGGCCTATAAAGTACTGCATAAACTGGCTCCAGATCCTCTGGCAGAGTTCATCAGCCAAAGAAACAGCCTTGCGCAGATCACTCGAGGCTCTGCCAGAGGTGACTGCTACATTCCTCTGCACAGGAGCACTTTCAGTCAATCGGCCTGGTCAGTCAGGAGTGCAGGTGTGTGGAACTCAGTACCTGAGGAGGTAAAACTGCTTCCAACATACAAGGCCTTCACAAAAAAATTGAAAATGTGGCTCATCAACACCTACAGCTGCCAGCACGAAAAGATGGCTGTTGTGATGTTTGATATTATCATAAAATGTTATGCTGTGATGTTGCACTTTTTCTTAATTGTATAGTAAGTGTTTTTTATACATCTTGTATTATATTGTACATGTATTGTGTGCTTTTTCTTTTTTTTTTCTTTTTTAAATTGTAGTTTTACTGCCTGTTTCACATCATGGCCAGGGGACTACAGATGAAAACTAGCCTTCTGGCTAATTCTGGCTTTTTTAACCATGTGTAATCATGTGTTTTATGAAATTGCGCTGTTCTGTTGAGCTGCTACAGAGTTTGCACGCAGGATTTTTAGCGTGCCGTGAACTTTGCTCATGCCTGGTTGTGTGCTTGGACACTGAAATGTTTGCACCGAGGTGTGTAATATTAGCGGGGGTTGCGTAATTGATTAAATTAAATCACTGTATTTATACAGTATATATTTATATTTTTCTTGCTGTGGGCTTTTGAAACTTTTTTAGCTGACTGATTGTCTGACCGACCCTCAAGCCGAAGTGAACTCAATAAAGAATGGAAAGAGACTTAAAGGCCCTGTCTGAGTAAATGTGAGCTGCATACTTCACATTGTGGGTACAGCCCTTTCAAGTGTGGGGCACAGCGCAGTTGGGCAAAAACACTTGACAATGAGCTCTGAGCTAAATCCTATTGAACATCTGTGGAAGGAGCTGAAACATGCTGTCTGGAGAAGGCACCCTTCAAACCTGAGACAACTGGAGCAGTCTGCTCATGAGGAGTGGACCAGAATACCTGCTGAGAGGTGCAGAAGTCTCATTGACAGTTACAGAAATCATTTGATTGCAGTGATTGCCTCAAAAGGTTGTGCAACAAAATATTAAGTTAAGGGTAACATCATTTTTGTCCAGGCCTGTTTCATGAGTTTATTTTTTAAAAATAATTCTGTTAAACCACAGTTCACAAGCAATGTCTAATTTTCATTGCTTAATTTTCATAGAATTTTTATTTTTTATTACTTTTGTCAGATTCAAGTAATTTCTGTGACCGTTGTGGGTTTTTCTTTCATTAACTGAGGGGTACCAACAGTTTTGTCCACGCGTGTATTTACAAGACCAGAAACTGTAGCTGAAGAACCCATTATGGTTGACTTTAGTCAAACAAATTTGTAATCAAAGTTCTAATAGTTCTAACACAATATGTCATGGCCGCTGGCGCCGACTAGTGGCGGTACTCCCCCTCCCTCCTTTCCTCTAGGTGGGCGTGAGCGGCAATGCAGGCGGCGCTGATGGGTTACACCTGTGCTTCATCTCCGTGCAATCAAGCTGAGGAGCCACACCTGGGCTTGACTCGCCACTTCACTCTCTTTGCCAGTACATAAACCAGCTCCAAACCATCAGCAGACGCCGGACCGTGATCAACCGATAGTCAGTGTTTATTCTAGCTCTCGTTTTGCTCTGTGGCTAACTGTCTCTCCGCTCCCCAGGACTCCACCAGCCAGCGTGTGTGCTCCTCCAACCACCCTCATCTCCTCCCTCCGTTCCCTGCTGGACTCCCTGTTGACGTCTCCCTGGTTCCCCGTCCTCACCACCGTCCTGCTGCGCCGTCTGCATTCCGCTCCGCCTGCCTTCCCCGCTCCCTCTCCGGTTTCCCTCAGCTAAGTTGTTAGCCGCTAGCCTCGTGTGCTTTAGTGTAGTTTCGTATCCCTTGTTTCTATAGTGTAGTTTATTATTCCTGGTTATAGCTTCGTGTGCTTTAGTGTAGCTTCTTGTTCCTAGTGTCTCACTGAGCCTTTTTTGCTTAGTCGCTTTTTGTTCCCCGTTCTAGCTTAGCTTTCGTTTGTGTAACTTTCTATAGCCTTTTGTTTGAGTTAGCTTCTTGCCTGCATTACCACTCGTGTAGTTTTAGTTTCGGTTTCCGAGTGCGTCTTTTGCTATCGTTAGTTTTAGTTTAGCTTTCCGTCTGTGGTTATACCACCAGCTTGGTTAGTGTTTTTCTTTGCCCTGCTGTAAAATAAATTATTTCATTTTTTACATCTGTCTCCTGTGTCTTGTTGCTCTGCACGTGGGTCTGTGAACTGACCGTAACAGAATATCTGTTGGTTTCTCGGCAGGAGAAGCGACGTTAGCGCCTCCTTCAGGTTGAATGTTTCCCACCGAAGAGTCGATGAGTCACGAATCCAAACAACATCAGCTGATGCTTTAATCTGATGGATGAATAAACAGTCTGAGTTGATGATGAAGCAGCAGCAGGGAGTCGTTCGGGTCACGTGACTCTGCCAATATCGATCTGATCAAACCCGTCAACCATCAGGCCCTCTGTCACAACAAAAGCCCCTTGCAGAGCTGCCGAGGAGACCGGCCTCATTTCCTGAGATATTAATATCCTCAAACACATCTCCATCTTCCTCCTCTACCCCCGTCCTCCCCCACAAACTCCCTTTAGGCTCATTGGCTCCCATTAATGCATCAGAATAAAGATCCGTCCTGCCAAAGGGTCTGAGTCTGCAGAGGCAGAAACACTTCAAACACAACATCTCTGCAGCGTCTCCAGCACTTTGACCAACGAACCCATCGCAGCTATTGATCGTGACGATAGGTCTCCGTGGATTAGTGAGCAGCTAGTGTTTGGAGCTGACTGCTGGATGTCTTTTATGTTCCTGCTTGTCACTGCTTTAACACTGACTTCTAGGCTGTGTGAACTCCAGCATGCTCTCTGCTGGTGTTTACTGTGACAAGAATTGCTGTGAGGAAACTAAAAATACTCGACCTGAGATCTGTCTGTGAAGCTTCAACACCGAAGTTTCAGTTCTGCTTCACATCACTACAAATGACGAAGTCTGAGAAAAATATTCACTGTTGAGTCTTAATAGAAATAGAACAAAACCAAGGCAACCTGTCAAAACAAAAGCATTAATAAATTAATGTTTTTTTCAGGAACAGGTGTCACAGACCACCGGTTTTATGGGATAATCTGAACTGCAGGGCACCAAAACTTGAGTTGGTCTAGTCCTCTAAAGACCTGAGACTTAACTTTGCCTAGTTTCCTAAAACTTGACACTTGACTTGAAGTAGTCCTTAAAGATGTGAGAATTGATTTGGACAAGCCCTCAAAAAAATTGACATGGATTAGTCCTCTATGGACTTGACTTCAGTGAGTCCTCTAAACAATAAAACTTGGCTTGGTCTAGTCATGTAAGACTTAATACTTTGACTATTCCATGAAAGACTTTACCTGTCCTCTAAAGACTCGAGACTTTGATTAGCTCTCTAAGACTTGAGACTTGACTTGGACTAGTCCTTAAAGATGTGAGACTCAACATGGACTAATCCTTTTTTTTATTAAAAAAAAACAAAAAAACAAAACAGTCTCAGATTAATCCTTTAAAGACCTGACTTGGACTAGTCTTGTAAAAACCTCTCAAAAACTTTTACTTGGATTAGTGTTCTAAAGACTTGACTTGGACTTGGCATATAAGACCAGAGACTTGAATTTGGGTAATCCTGTAAAAACGTCAGCTAGTCTACTCCTCTAGAGACTTGAGTTAGAATATCCCTGTAAGACTTGACATCTGCCTTGGACTAGTCCTATAAATAGTTGACTAGTACTCTAAAGACATGACTTCGACTGTCCCTGTAAGACTTGAAACCTGACTTGGACTTGTCCTCTAAGACTAGAGATACAAGCTCCATGTATCGGAGCTCAGTTCAGCTGATTCAAGCTGATCCTCTATTTATTCACAGTAAACCTAAATAATCCCACAGTAATTTCATCTAGTTTTTTAGGTCTTTAACTCAGTGTCTCTAACAGGTCTGTCACTTGACTGCTGTCAGGCGTCACTGCAGATGTTGGACCTCTGAAAGCTGTTAAATATCCATCAGAACAGTTGTGTGGGGACTCCTGACAGCTAGATGCTTTAGATATGAGGTGAGTTTCATCTGTCTGTCAACTACATATAGCTCAGCTCAGAGTCCTGAGCAAAAGCAATGAGGCAGTAGCAGCAGTACTCTGATTACCTGCAGTAATCACTCAGGTACAGTTACAGGCCCCAAGCTGTTGATCCAATCACGTTATTCAGATTATCAACGTTATGAGTCTTGTTTTTTTACTCTGATAATCGGATCAAGACATTTACACGACAAGTTATACAGATGGAGTCTCACTTTAATTGGGTTAAAATCTAATTTGGTGTAAATGCACAGACAGCATCTCGGTCAAAACCATGAAATACACGGGATCATCCTTTATTAGGAGAATGCAGTGGATGAAACTGGTCCAGGTAGCTAAACACAAGGTGACACTGTGCATTTCTGCCTGCTGATGGTGCAGACAGAGGACAAAAGGATCGTCTTGGTGATAGATTTGTAAAGTCCCATCTCAGAATAACAGGCGTCCATCATGTTGTACTGTCTGATAATCGTCATTCATCTGCTACACAAACTGCTCCTCCTGGATTTTATTCTGTTAGTCATGAACCCTCTGAACAGTTTCTGGATGTATTTTTTGCTATTTTCTACTGCAATACAAAGTCCTGGCCCTCTATGGAAACAGCACAACCATGACAAGAAGTATAGAGAATTAAAAAATGTTTTCTTTGCAGTATGACAGAAATCAAAAAAAGGACAAATATTAAAGTTGAATTTCTCTGATTATTTGATTTATTAAAATTTTAAAAACCTGGAATCAACATAACCAACGTTTTTCCAAGTGTCCACAAGTGTTACCAACTCTAGAAAAAATGATGGCTTCCCATATTATAGACATTTAATGATATACATTTTATTAAGCTCTACAAACCTTTGCACACTATTCTGCACATCAACACGAGAAAGATATTTCACCATGCTGAATGTATCTCCCAAAAAATAAAGGCCAATTCATGCTTTCCGCGTCCACAAAGGTACGTGTGACATAAATTCCATCATCCACACAAACACACAAGGTCATGCCGCCCAAAATTTCGGAAAGAACTGTTCTGACTGTGCACATTCCAAGTTCCGACCTCACATGTGCCAGGCTAACAAGTGGAGCTTTGAACAAATGTTTATGCACAAAGACAGTGAGAGGAGCTTCTTAACCATCCACACTTTTATAAGCCACCTTTAACAGAGATGTAATTGACGTAGTTGCTGCCGGACTTTGGAGGTACTTTGATTTGTACATATTTTCTGTTCACGAGCCTAAGCACAGGCAGAAGTTCTAAATTCTACAGATAGCCTGTGCTAAGTCCACCCACTGTGGCCGACACACCTCAGGAATAATACCTACATGTTGCGAAAGCCCTGTCTGAAAGTAGTTACTATATTTTGCAAAAATGGTCGTGTGTTCCATTCAAGAAGCAATGCAATCATCTCTGCAGAGCAGCGCAAGTGTTATTGTAGTATGAACAGAACCACTTTTGCTTATCGGCCTGCTCATATGGATGAGAAAGCAGGAATTGTTCCTTTGTATTCTACAGGTAATCTTGACAAGCTAGTGGGTCATCATGACAAAGATTCTGTGGTGGTTAATTGCTATCTGCGGGAGGTCACACATTGAAAACATGTCGTAGCGTACTAAGACAGTGCTCTTACTGCATGTAGTCACATGCAATCGAGTCGCATTAACAGCAAAGTCGTCTGTTGTAAAAAATATTTATATCAGCCAGGAAAAAGTGGAGTGATGAAAATGTATGCTTCTTGCTGAGCTTAATATTGCTTAACTCAAATTTTACCCCTCAAATCACTCCAATAAAAGAAGAAAAAAGAAGAAAATGGCACATGAACTGTATTTTCATTTTAGCTCTAACTTTAACCAGTACAAACAAAACTGGAGCTCTGCAGATTTGCCGGTTTGTTCGAAGATACATTGAACATGGTAAAATGTCTTTCTACAGTTGATTTGCTAAGTAGTGTGAAAACGTTTTTAGAGGTTTTATAAATGCAAATAAAATATAAATAGTATAAATAGTAAAATATCTATAGCACATAGAGCTGCTGCCTTTTTCCAGTATTAGAAATGGCTGTGGACTCTTAGAAAAAAATAGTACATGATAATTTCAGGTTTTGGAATCCTCATGTGGCAGTATAATTGTGTCATACTGGATGGACGACATTTTTGAATTCTCTTTACTTCTAGCGAGAGTTGTGCTGTTTCCATAGTGGTGTAGCTCAACTCAAATTTCACTCCACTTCACACAAATTACTCACACTTTAACCAACACAAATAAAACTTGGCATATGAACCTGGTTCCTTCACAAATAATGCTTTGAGTTAAGGATATGAGCAGTACAGGAGTGGTAGACAAGCTGACGGTTTGGGTTTTTTAAAAATCTGCTTGCATCTGAAATCCTTTGCTCATGCTCAAAACTCGCTCAGCTCTACTCATGTGGCTTGATGTCAGCATATAGAACAATGTATGCAGCAGTCACTTCCTGTTAATCATTAGTCAATTATTAACACGTCTATCACTTGAAAAAATTGTTCAAAAATGTTATGCTGACTGTATCACATTTAAATGTTAAAAACGTAAATGATAAAAGAATAACTAATTGACACTTCAGAGACTGTGACTGTCACTCACCGGCACTTTGAAGGGAGACGAGTTTGGATTGTCGACTGCGACGCTTTTCTCTGAACTCCCCAAACCAGAAATACTCCTCCTCCTCGGAGACCGCTCCGAAGACACTTCTGCAGAGGCAAGGAGAGAGTGAGTTAGATCAACCAAGGGTGCCTTTACCTCATCATCAACATCATCATCCTCATCATCGTCATCCTCATCATCATCATCATCATCAGTAGTAGTAGTAGTAGTAGCAGCAGCAGCAGCAGCAGCAGCAGCAGCCTTCAGCCTGAACTGGACGAAGGAGGACGGGTGATGACATTCAGACACGGTGGAGGACAGACAGTGTTGGTTAAATGGCAGCTGGTTCCGACACCAAAGTAAAGAGCTTCACTTCATTTTCACACACAGTCAGAGCAGGAAGCTTCAACCTGCTGGACTGATGGAGTTCTGTACTGTTTAACCTCTAACGTCTACAGGATGTACTTTCCAGTGTCAAACCAGCGACTGTCAGCTTCTGTTCTGAGGTTTCACTTCTGTAACATCTGTTTGAAACTACCAGTAAAGCAACGCTGATGACCCCTTTGACTGCAAACATTTCATTTAAAAATAGTCCAGTCAGTTTATCATTTCAATGCAGTTTGTCCAATCAGTTGATCCAACAGAAAAATCTCTTGCACATGTACTGTCTCATCAGTCTCTCTTGTACTTTACAGCTGCATAAAATCTCCAGACATCTTCACACAAAGCAGTTCAAACTGAGCTTAGTGTCTTTTATTAATGAAATTCCAGTTTTGTTAACCCTCTGAATCTCAAAACCCATCGGCAGGCTTAAAAGACATGTTGTATTTTTTAAAGAAAATCCCAACCGACACTATTTATCAGCCAGAAACTATAGAAACTTTTTCAAAAAAACAAATAAAAAAAAATTTAAAAAACATACATCCGATTCTTAACTTTTCAACAGTCCTTAGATGTATCATGTGTTATGTGCTGTTGCATCTGAAAAATTAACCAAATCTAAGCTAAAGAATTACCAAAAATAAAGTGTGTGTGACCAGCTGTGAGTTTTCAGGCAGTGTTACGAGGACAACGAAACACACTTCATCAATAATACAAATGTAACATGGCTCAAAAACCGCATACTGAAGAGCAAGTTGCCAGAAGATACATTCAGCATGGTGAAACATTTTTAAAGCGCCAAGGAGAGGGAAAACACTGAGTCTGAAGAGGCTGTAAAAAGGTAAAAACTTCAATAGCTGAAACAGGATACAGTGAGGAAAAATGTGACAGGAAATTTTAAAAAAACACGCTAAAACTGCTCAGAGTTTATAGGGTTAAAGACTAAGAGAGTAAAATCCAGAAGGAGCAGTTTGTCCAGGCTGTAAAAATGTGTAAAGTTAAATATCTATAGCAAGCAAAGCCACCATTTCTTCTGGTGTTGCTGCTTTATTAATTTTTGTAAAACAAATAAAAACAAAATTAAGCTTTATTTTTCTTTTTAAGGGTTTAAGTCATTTTACAACATTCCTGACTTCTCTATCCTTCTTCATGTTGTTCTGTTTCCATGAAGGTGCAGGACTTTATGTTGCAGTGACAAATGAGCCACAATGAGGAAAAATGAGACAGGAGTAAAGAAAAATTTCCAGAAACTACCTGGAGTTCAGGGGTTAATATCTTCTCTGGTTTTTTTTGTTTTTTTTGTTTTTTTTGCAGTTTCAGACTTTTCAGGAGCTGCAGGAACCCAGTCTGGAGTTTGTGTTGAAGTTTATCAGCTGCTAAATCAAAGGTAACGATTCATTCGGATCCAATTTTGGCCACTAAACGCTAGCTGTCGCCGCTTTTATCAACCCATGTACAGTTTGAGATCAATACTGAGCTGACAGTGAGAGGCGTCGAATCAGCAGCAGCAGCAGCAGCGTGACGTTCACATGCCATGAAAACATTCTGCAACAGGGAAGAACACTGGGAGCAGACAGCGAACGCAGCATGCAGCAGGAGTCAGCATTTATCCACAAAGTGCTGGATCAAGTTCCAGCTGCAGGAGGATGCAGGCTGCATGCATGCAGCGCTGCGACGGAGCCAGTGGCAAACTTTCATGCACTCCACCCTCCCCCGTCCGTCCCACCCCGACGCCACGGAGGAAAAAGAGCAGCGACGATGGAGCCGGATGCCATCACGGCTCCTCTTTTTCTGCCTACACAAAGTTGAGACGACATGCGGCCGGCGGCAGGTATGAAGGTATGACGGCTCAGTCACATGACAGAAACATACAGAGACGGTACCTCGGTCGCAGCTGTTCCCCATCATCTGAGAAGAGGACACACACACAGTCAGACCGGATTGGCCGAAGCAGCCGCCACCTGTCAGCCAATGAGGTTATAAGCTGCAAACGTCCGTCTTCGTCCGGTGAGCATCCTCCCTCCTCATCCTCCCATCGCCTCCCCCTCTCCCTCTCCACTCAGCAGTAATTCTAACCCTCGCTCTGCCTCCGTCTTTCCCAGAGCACCGAGGTTTTACCGCATTTATTCAATCAATCCCTCCGACTGCACCGCTCTGCTCTTCTTGTTTTTTCTCTCTCTGCAGACGGTCTTCCCCCCGCCCGCCCTCTCTCTCTCTCTCTCTCTCTCTCTCTCCCCCTCTCTGCAGCAGCTCGGTTAAAGCCTCGCTCTTCCTCTCTTCTTCTTCTTCTTCTTCTTCTTCTTCTTCTTCTTCTTCCTGGAGCTGCATCTATCGCGGTGCTCGGAGGATAAATAAGTTCGATGTGGGATGAAGCAGCTCTGGAGGCTGTTAACGCTGTCAAACGTGCAGAATATCAGCGCTGAGAAAAAAAAAAAAAAAAAAAAACTTTGCTAGCCAGTTAACTATGTCTCAATGAGGCATTGTTGAGCGAAGACGAGACAAAATAAAGTTCGGCTCCTTCTTATTCTAATGTTTTATTGTCTTTATTAATTTTATTTTTTGCCAGTGTTTTGCCTTTTTTTTTTTTTTTTTTACATTTTTTCTCTTTTCTGATGTTTTATCATCCTTTATCTGTTGCATCTTCTTTTGTTTTTTTTTTTTTTTTTTTACATTTTTTCTCTTTTCTGATGTTTTATCATCCTTTTTCTGTTTCATCGTCTTTTTAATGTCTCAATTTTTTAAATCTTTCATTGTCTTTTCTGGTGTTTTATTTTTTAAAATAATTTTTTGTTTTTTCATATGTTTTGTGTTTTAAAACCTTTTATTGTCCTGTCTAAATGTTTTATTGTATTTTCTGGTGTGCTGTTGTCGTTTTCAATGTCTTTTTAAAATTCTAAATTGTAATGTTTTGTCTTATCTTAATGTTTGATTATGTTTTCTGGTGTTTTATTATCTTTTATGCACCATTGTCCTTTTTAAAAAAATGTTTTTGCCATTTTTTAACATTTTATTGTCTTTTCTGATGTTTTGTTATATATAATTTATATTTATATAATGTTTTGTTCTTGTGTAATGTTTTATTGTTTTTTAAATATATTTTTTATTGCTTTTTTAATGTTTTATTTTTATTGTGTTTTATTTTTATTTTGTTATTTGATTTTATTGTATTATTTGATTTTATTGTCTTATCTGATGTATTACCATGTTTCCTGTGTTTTCTGATGTTTGATAGATTTTTTTTCGTTGTCTTTTCCAGTGCTTCATTATTACTATCTTGTGCAACACAAATTGTACCTCTGATTTTTATTATAAAGAGGGTTATTATTGCATTGGATAAAAATAATAGACAGCAGTGTTTTAATTTACATTCTGAAGGTCACAATGTTGTAAACCATTGCATTAGTGCATCTTTTCAGCTTATTGTGACATTCAAAGACTGCAGACCAAAATGGCCAACGTAGTTACTCCCCAGAAGTTTGAAGACAAGTCAAACTAAAAATAAACAAACCAACAACAACAACAAAGAACTCAAATAACTGTTTCCGAAACATAATGTTCGTTATACTAACTACATTTTAGTATTTCGCTGGATGGAAAGTGAAGCCTTAAACCCACATTCTCTCTAGTAGCCAGCAGGGGGGCGACTTCTCAAATAGGTCTGACTGTACAGAAATGTATAAGAAAATTCATCGACCTCTCAATTCACCTATTACCTCAGTGAACATTTTCCTCAAGAGTTTATGGTCTGAGTCGGTATCTTCAAGTCTCCTTTAACACAGCATGATGTTGATTTTGTCAATATGATCCCATTTAGAAGAAAACAGAAATTAAAGCAGGGTGGCACTACATTGTTATTAAAAACTTGCTGCTGTATTGACCTTAGTGGACGATAAAAGTGGTAGAACAGCAGACATAACTGCAGGGGACGAACTGATCAGTGCTAAACAGAGGAGAGCGTCCTAATTTAGTCAGTCCTATGTCTATTTTACATACAGTTATAGTAATCCTTATTAATGAAGACGCCTATTTATGAATGACAGGTTCTCTGCTGTCACATGCTGTTAAACATTACGTTTAATGTATATCGGTTCCAATTATTGGTCATTTGCCCTTCTTGATTACCAATAAGGAGCATCAGTATCATCCCTAAAAAACAAACAAAACAAACCATATCGGTCAATCCCTAATTCATAAGGTGGTGTCTGTTTAATAATATAATGATAACTGTTATTAGAGGGAATCAAACCGACAACCGTCCGCTCTGTGATCTTCAGTCTGCTCAGATTTTCCTGCTGCTGCTAACAAGGTATTGATTAGAAGAGGCTTGGCACAATCACTCGTTTTGGTATATTCACTAGAGACAGTTTGACCTTCACAGTCAGACTGGAGACCAGCAATGGTTTCAGTCTGGACGCTGTTAGCTTGAGATGAATTTCAGACACCAGTTTCCTTAAATTTCTCGATTGAACAAAATCGATTAGTGAAACAATTCTGCTCTCCTCGATGCAAGTGTGTTTCTGCTCGTCAACAGACCTCATGTGTTGAGTCAAATTGACAACAAAGTGTTTGCGCTAAGCGGCTAAGACTAATTCCTGGTCATCTCTGGACCGTTCTGTGTCATCGTAGCCATTTCTGGAGGTCATTTGTCAGGCTGGAAGCTGAGTGCGACCCCCCCAACGACCACCTGGACTTTGGGTTAAAATGACTCGCATGTCAGTTTGTAGTT